TAGTGATAGTATTAGGGAGTTTTGTGGTGTGATGGAACTGTTCTGTTTCCTGAGTGTGGTGGTGGTTACACAAATTTATACATGTGTTGAAATTCATAGACCTGTATACTCCCACTCCTCCCCCCAAACGTCAGTTTTACTGTATGTTAATTTAAAAAGTAAAACCAGAAACATGTATGTGTCTGCTTTTTAAGGCATTTGGTCTCACTGTAGACTAAAAATCTTATGTAAGTACTTTCTGATTTCTCTGTTAGATTTTGTTAACTTTCAAGAATTTACATGCAGAGTGACTGATAATGCAGAAATCTTTAATATTAAAGGAAATAGTACTGTAATCATTCTATACAAAGAATTTGCATGGTTCCCCTATACAACTTCACAGTTTTGAATAGGTGATAACTATCATTTATTGAAATAATATTATTCAGTGGGTACTTTGCTGAACATTTTAACTATACTCATAATTATGGTTAAGTATTATTTTCCCTATTTTATGTATGAGGAAACTGAAGCATAGAGATATTAAATGCCTTGCTTAGGATCATACAACAGGAATGTGATAGAGTTAGAATTTTAACTTTGTTAGATTCAGAATTCTTTAAAAAAATTTTGTGGTAAAATAAAGCACAGATGCAGAAGACCACAAAAAACCCCAAATGTATTTAATGTATTATAAAGTAAACACAACTATAACTACCATCCGGGTCAAGAAGTAGAACTTGGCCAGCTACTCCAGCTGTTTTCAATGTACTCTATCCCAATCATAACTGCCTTCCTCCCCAGTACTAACTATTATTTTATTTTTACAGTAATCCAGTTTCATCCCCCAAATATGCATCTCTGGACACTATAATTTAATCTTATCTATTTTCTTTTTGAATTTGAAATTTTTTTGGTGTCTTTAATCTTTAAGTCCCCCTTCTCATTTCATCTCCCTGCAGTTCAGCATTTGACTCTGGATATTTTGACTTGTGGTTTCCCATTCTTTGGATTCTGCGAATTGCATACCCATGGTGTAATTCAGCATGCTAGTCTGCTCCTATATGTCCTGCAGGTTTTGCTAAGTATCCAGAGGCTTGATCAGACTCTGATGTGATTTCTTTGGCAAGACTGTATGTAGTTGGTGTGTTCGTCAGGAGGTACTTGATATCTGCATGAGTCTTTTTTTGTGTGTATGTGATGTTATGAGCCATTGATATTTAATGCCTAGATCCAAAAATTCATTGGGAGTAGCAAAGTGGTGATATTCTAAATAATTTCTCTTTCACTGTGACTTAGGATACTTCCATAGAATACTGTCCTCACCTGCTATTTTGTTATCAAATAGCACAATTTATAAGGAAAGACAGGATAAATGCTTAATTCTTTATTTATCAGTTTTCAAGTAGTAAATTTATTCCTTGAAAAATCAAGGTGTTTTTGTTTATTTTTTAAAGGATTGCTATGCACTCATAAATTTAGACATATTTAGATTTAATCCATTACAATTAATATAGTTAATGGGACTCAAACTGTCCTATCTTTGACCAGAGAGAACCACTTTAAAAGATTTCTGAATCCCCCTGGCTGGCGTAGCTCAGTGGATTGAGCGCGGGCTGGGAACCAAAGTGTCCCAGGTTCGATTCCCAGCCAGGGTACATGCCTGGGTTGCAGGCCATAACCCCCAGCAACCGCACATTGATGTTTCTCTCTCTCTCTCTCTCTCTCTCTCTCTCTGTCCCCCTCCCTCCCTCCCTTCCCTCTCTAAAAATAAGTAAATAAAATCTTAAAAAAAAAAAGATTTCTGAATCCATGTGTGTGATCACAGTAGTGTAGTGTTTGATAGCCTTCTTGCTCCTGGTATGATAAAGTTGTTCCATGCTTGCTTTGTAAGTTTCTGATGATTCTGTGGAATCAGCCATTTCTCCAAAAATCCCTGGCAATGGAGATTATTATATAGTAGAGTTAATATTATTTAAGGAGAACCTCAGTGAAGAGCCATTAGTACAAACATCTTGGATTTAACTTCAAACAGTATGTGGAATGTAATAGGGACTCAAGAAGTATTTGTTGAATGGTTGTCAGAATGTGAATATTTTTGGTTAAGGTCTGTGATTTTGTACCTCTTTTTTTCCTTCACAGTGTCTAGCTGCTAGGTGCTCAGTAAATGTAGTAAAGTGAATAAGATCACGATCTTTGCTAGCAGACCTTATTCTACCATATATTAGTTGTGTGACCTTGAAGAGAGAAGTTACTTTACTAAACTTCTGTTTTTCTATCTGTAAAATGGGTTAACAACAAGGTCAGAGGACTGTTGTGAGGTTTAAGTGAAATAATTTAATATCAATAATTTAATAATCATTATAGATTTTTTAAAATAAATGAATGTAGAGGTAATACATAGTTGCTGTATTAATATTTTAAACCATAATTTTGCCAGGTTGATAGTTTTATGCTCAAGTAGAAATAGACAAAAGGGAATGTAAAGGTGTGTTTTCTACAGTACATCAAATTAACTTGTGAAATAGTTAGTTTTTGTTTTAAGTGCTCTATAGTGTAGAAATTCAGAAATTTCCCACGAAGTGATTCCTATGTGGAGGAATGCTTTCTCTAATGTGATCAGATTTTCCAGCAGATACTATTAATTAATCTAGGGTCTTGTTCACCCTAGATTCTGCTGCTGAATACTCACCTCTTTGCAAGGCTGCCATGCTGCTATGGATGTTAGGGACATCTCTGCTTTCACTGACAAACTGGGAGGCAGATGAATTCCTGAGTTCACAATTTGGAACTTAATACCACTCCCCCTCCATGGACAGACAGACAGACACACACACACACACACACACACACATACACACACACACACACTTCCCAAAATTTATAAATGGTAGCTAGATAATAGTTAATTAATTACTTTTTCAGTGTGGGTTGGCCTGGGAATAGAATTACCATTTTTAGCATTGTTTTTATATAAAAGGGAAATGCACTCTGGATTCTGAATAGGTTTCAGAATAGCCTGTTCATTCATGGTGGCCTGCCTATTTTTATATATGTGGTCCTCATTGCTTATCAAATGACGAGCATTTACTAGCTTGTAACCATCAAGGATTATAAATATATCTAAGTTTCAGGTTAAACCATGTACTACAGATAATTCACATTTCGGTGTAATTGAGGTTGAATGATAATATTACTGATATTAATGAATTACTGAAAACCAACTTTTAATGTAGATTGTAACTTGGTAAAGTGGAAAAAACTATGGTTTTGGAGTCAGATCTGGGTTCAGATTCTAACCCCACCATTTATTAACTGAATTTGTTATCTCAACTGTAAAATGGAGATGATAATTACAGGGTGGTTATGAGATTTTAAATGATTTAACATTAGCCCATGTACAGTGCTTAGTTAAGGCATTTGGTACACATTAAAGACTCAGTAGCATATCATTAGATTCTTAATTCCTTGCAGTTAGTTCTTTAACTTGACATGCATAAAAGTGATCATTTTACTGAGTTACAGTAGAGAATTATGTTTTAAAAGGCTAACAGTAAATAGGTATGATATAGTTTTATATCTCTTTGGCTGTGTTAATTAAGGATGGCTTATTTTAATTTTCCCATTTTTATAATACCCATAAAATCATTTATTAAGTTTTATATATTATGAAAGCTTGAGTAGGAAGAAAACAATGAATAAAATACTGTGCTGTTTATTTTTCAAATTATTTTATATAGCAGTGTTTGCTGTGCAAGAAGTCTTATTTTATGGGGTTATTGGCTAAATTTTTATTTCTTGTTATGAAATAGTAAACTTTTGAAATGCATATATACTTCTGAAGTTCAGATGTATTTTATCAATGCCAATAGTGACCTACAAAATTATTTTACTGAAAGTGAAGTAGAAACCTTGAAATGTAAATGAATTTGATAATTATTCTTTTATGAAGTTGATGATATAAATGTAAAAGCTTACCTAGTGTAATATGTTTATAGTCCATTTTTAGCTTGATAAACTAAACACTATTAAACAAAAAGAATAATGCTCCTGGCCTTCAACATGGAAAAGAGTTTGTGAGAAGTTCATCTTCATTACAAATGCATCACTTTAATAATATTTGGCTAGGCCATAGTAAATATGAGATGCCTAGAGAACATTTGTTGTAGGGTATTATTTACTTAAAATATCTAGCCAGCTTTGTAGAACATAGAGTCAGGAAGTAAAGACCAGTTCACTTATTGGTCACTCATAAGGAATACTTCTGTGTGTCAAACACGGTCCCAGATGATGGAGAGGAAGCAAAAAAAAATAGGAGACAGGGTCTCTAATCAGAAGACAGAACGAGATAGCACTTATATAAAGCAGCAAAATATTCTAGCAAGGATTAATGGAGTACAGAATTCCTATATCAGCTCTCATGGAGGAAGAGAGGGGCAGGGTTTTGAGAAAGTTGATTGATGTGCATTGATTGACAAAGAGGATAAGGAAGAAAAAGTCCCTGTTCTGAAAAGAAAGAATGGTGTGTTGGGGGTGACAGCTGAGAATACCAAAGTTGTTCTGTGGAAAGTGAGCAAATTAAATTGACTTGAGTGGAAATTTGTGTAGAAGACAGTCAGAAATTATGTTACACAGCTAATTGGAATGTGGGGATATAGAAGATTTTAAGCATTAATGTGAAAAGAGAGACATTTCAATTGCCCTGTATTTTAAAAAGTAGACAAAATTAAAGAATTTTGTGCTCACAGAGGAAGTTTTATAGGTGTTGACTTATTTTAAGATGAACTATGAAAGAGATTAAAGCACTGAATGTTACTACATTTGAGTGTAATTTGCGAAATGAAAACCTATTCTTTATTTGGATTTGAAAAGCACTGCTTGCAGAATAAGTGAATATGCAAACATTTTATATATCACGATTGGCTACATAAGGAAAGAAAAAAGGGATTAAAAAGAAACTATAATAAGACTAACTGAAATTTGAGTAGGGCTGAATTTCATATTTTCTTCTTTTATTCTAGGTTGCTGCTTTTGTTAAGAGCATATCCATGATCCTGATGGTGTTTTCATTCACAATAAAGTGCTCTATTGCCCTTACTGATTAACTGAACAAATTCAGGTTAGTACATTTTGTGCACAGCAATTACCTGTTCCATCATATATTAATAATTTGAGAAATGAATATTTTACAAAAGATTTTATTTTATTTTTAAAGAGGGAGGGAAGAAGAAAGAGAGGGAGAGAAGCATCAATTGGTTGCCCCTTGTATGGACCTCAACCAGGGATCAAACTGCAACCCAGGATGTTCCCTGACTGGGAATCGAACTGGCAACCTTGTACTTTGTGGGATGCTGCCAAATCAACTGAGCCACACCAGTTGAATGATTTTGTGTTTGAAGCTACATATGTATGTTTCAGTGAAGTAGAAAGGTCAATCTAAACCCTTTCGAATTCTGTATTAGTTAACAAATATTTTCAGATTACCTACTATATATAATATGACATGTATAAAATGAAAAATGTTTTATTTCCTGTAGTTTTAGTTTTTAGTTTAGTACTTTAAAGTAAAAGGGCTGCATAAAACAAGTCGTGGCTGGCCCTGGCTGATGTGGCTCAGTTGGTGGGATCATTGTCCAGTATCTGAAAGGTTGTGGGTTTAGTTCCTGTTTGGGGCACATACCTAGGTTGTAGGTTCCATTTCCAGTCCAGGAGTGAACAATACCTGGACCGGGTGCATGCAAGAGGTAACTGATTGATGCTTCTCTGTCACATGGATGTTTCTTTCCCTTCCTCTCTTATTTCCTCTCTCTCTCTAAGAGCAATGAAAAAATGTCCTCAGATGAGGATTACAAAAACAAAACAAATAAAAAAAACAAAGTTATAGCTGAATATGGTACATTGTATTTCTTGTATTGTTCTGTGGTGTATTTGGTGCTAAAAATAACTCATCTTAAAATTTTTGACAGTAGCTGAGTTTTAACAGTTTCATACTTGTCTAGATTTTAGTCATACATTAAACTTTTTATTTGTATTTAGGATTCAGTCTGAATTTTGACAGATTTATGTTTATCACTATAATCTTCCAAGTTCACTCAAATCTACCTCAATCCTGAGCAACCACTAATGTATTTTTTGTCCATATAGTTTAATTGACTTTCCCAATATGTCATTTAAATGGAATCATTTAGCATGTACCTTTTTTAAAAATTATATTTTATTGATAATGCTATTTAATGTCCCAGTTTTTCTCCTTTGACCCACTCTACCCACCATGCCTGGGTCATGTGTATAAGTTCTTTGGCTACTCCATTTCCTATACTGTACTTTATATCCCCATGGTTATTCCATAACTACCTATTTGTATTTCTTAATCCCCTCACCTCTTTACCCATTCCCTTATAGCCCCTCCCATCTGGCAACCATCACAACCCTCTAAGTATCCATGATTCTGTCTCTGTTCTTGTTTTCTTAATTTGTTTTTTAGATTCAATAGTTGATAGATATGTATTTTTTGCCATTTTATCTGTTCATAGTTTTGATTTCCTGTTTCTTAAATAAGTTCCATTAACATTTCCTAGAGTAATAGTTTGGTGATGATGAACTCCTTTAGTTTTTTCTTGTCTGGGAAGCTCTTTATCTGTTCTTGGATTCTGAATGATAGATTTGCTGAGTGGAGCAATGTTCGCTGTAGGTCCCTGGTTTTCATGAGTTTGAATATTTCTCGCCAGTCTCTTCTAGCCTGCAAAGTTTCTTTTCAGAAATCAGCTGACAGTCTCATGGGAACTCCCTTATAGGTAAATAACTGCTTTTCTCTTGCTGCTTTTAAGATTCTCTCTCTATCTTTAATCTTTGACTTTTTGATTATGATGTGTCATGGAGTGGGCCTGTTTGGTCCTCTCTGTGCTTCCTGGACTTGCATGTCTGTTTCCTTCACCAAATCAGGGAAGTTTCCTTTCATTACTGTTTTCAGATAGATTTCCAATCTCTTGGTCTTTCTCTTCTCCTTCTGGCACCCCTATGATGTGAATGTTGGAACATTCGAAGTTCTCCCAGAGGCTGCTTACACTATCCTTGTTTTTTGTGGATTCTTTTTTTCTTGTTGTTCTGATGGGTTGTTTTTTGCTTCCTTATGTACCAGTGAATTGCTTTGAGTCTCAGCTTCATCCACTCTACAGTTGTTTCCCTGTAAATCGTTCTTTATTTCAATTAGTGTATCCTTTGTGTCTGACTGGATCTTTTTTATGCTGTTGAGGTCTTCACTACGTTCCTTGAGTATCCTTATAACCAGTGTTTTGAACTCTGCATCTGATAGATTGCTTATCTCCCTTTTGTTTAGTTCTTTTTCTGGAGTGTTGATCTGTTCTTTCATGTGGGCCATGTTTCCTTGTCTCTTCATTTTGGCAACTTCCCTGTGTTTGTTTCTATGTGTTAGGTAGAGCTGCTGTGACTCACTGTCTTGGCAGCATGGCCTAATGTAGTAGGTGTTCTGTATGGTCCAGTGGTACAGCCTTCCCTGTCACCCAAGATAGGTGCTCGAGGTGCATCCTCTGTGTGGAGTGAGTACACTCTCCTCTTACAGTTGAGCCTTGGTTGCTGTTGGCAGGTCAATGGGAGGGATTTACCCAGGCCAGTCAGCTGCAAAGACTGGCTGTGACTACTAACTACCAATCTACCCTCTGTGGAGGATCAGTTGTGGAGGGGCTGGGTGGCTCCGATGTGGTCTGTAGCTGTCCACTGGGTGTGCAAGCCCTGGGATTCCCAGGGTGGTACAGGCCAAGGTCAGCCTCCACCTGTGTTCTGGCTGGGGCCACCCTGCCTGAACTATAAAGCCATGAGATTGCTGTTACTTGTGCCGATCTTAGAGATTTCCAGGTGAAGCCAAGCTGTGAATCTAGACTGGCTGCTGCTAGTGCCAGGCCTGGGACCACTTTGTGAGAGGCATGGGGGCTGGGTTCTTACTCAGGTTGGCAGTTGCCTGTTTGATAGGACTTAGGAAGTTGTGATATGAGCCAAGACCAGACATTCATATCTTGGGTGGACCTGTGCTGGCTCTGTGGCTTTGTGGGGTAAGGGTTTAGAAGACGAATATTGGTCTCTGTCCCGTTTCTGTCACTGAGAAAGCTGTCCCCCAGCTCTTGCCTTGATGCCAGAGACTTCAGGTACTCCCTTTATGCCACTAGTGCCTTTGAAGCTGCTACCTAGTTGCTGGAACTCAGAGGGAGTAAGTCTGATTACGTTCATTTGTGGATTCTTTAAGGGGAGCTGCTCGGGACTCCAAATGTTTTTCCATTGGCTCACTCCCCACTGATTTTGCAGCCAGAAGTTATGGGGAATTATCTTTCTGGCACTGGAACCCTGGGCTGGGGCCTGGTGTGGGGCTGGACTTCTGCTTTCAAGATATACATTCTGAATTTTTATCCACCACACGTGGATGTGGGACCAGCCTGTTATGTGTCTCTACCCCTCCTACCAGTCTGGATGGATGTGGTTCCTTTTATTCCATAGTTGTCAGACTTCCATTCAATTCAATTTCTGAAAGTTTTGATGATGGTGGTTCTATGTTTTAGTTGTAATTTTGATGTGGTTGTGTGAGGAGGCAAGCTGTGTTTACCTGTGCTGCCATCTTGACCAGAAGCAGCATGTACCTTTTAAAATCTGGCTTCTTTTACTTCACATAATAGATTTGGATTCATCCATGTTGTGCACACTAGTAGGGTTTTTTGAAAAATGTTATTTTTATTATTATATACTACAGTGAGCTTATGCACTCACCAGCTGATGCACAGTTGGGGAGTTTTTGGTGATTATTGCAGTCATACTTTTTTGTGTATAATAAAATATTCATAATAAAAAATTTACCATCTGAGGTTCTGATGTCTCATCTGTAGAATGAATATAAGAATATTTATCCCAGGGGTTGTAGTGAGGATTGAATAGAATTAATTAGATAAAAGTACATAGCAGTTGAGGTAGGCTTTTAATAAATGTTTGTCTTTATTATTATTTTTAAATGATCAGTGGAAACTTTACTTTTCTATTGTTTATTTTTCTAGTGAGTCTATATGGACACAGAAATAGTGCCCACTATTACCTTGGAGCCCAGCAAGAAAATAAAAATCAAGCAAATTCCCGCTGTGTTGACCTCCTAGAACTTTTTCCAGTTTGAAAGAAATTTAACCAGGCCACTGTCAGCATAAGATAATGCTGAGCATGAAAGGCTCTGGAAGAGAGTTGTAACTTGAGGAAGGATGGTAGAATTTTTTTATAGGGATTTAGCAGTAGGGGGTCAAACATAATTCAACTAGTTTGGGAAATAGTTGGTCAATGATGACTGTCAAAGAATTGATCTTATTGATTATTGGCCATTGCACAATTTGGATTTTATCAGGAGGGTTGGGGAGAAGCAGCTGTAGGGAACAAGGACAGAAGGCCAATGTAAAAATTCTCAGGTTTTTAGTATTTTCACAGTAGATTTTTCTGTCATTGGATTTACTTTTTAAAGATTTTATTTATTTTTAGAGAGGGAGGGGAAGGAGAAAGAGAGGGAGAGAAACATCAATGTATGGTTGCCTCCTATTTCATGCCCCCTGCTGGGGGACCTTGGCCTGCAACCCAGGCACATGCCCTGACGGGGAATCAAACCAGTGACTCTTTGGTTTGCAGGCTGGCACTCAGTCCACTGAGCCACAGCAGCCAGGGCCTATCACTGGATCTTGTAGTCTTCTCCCAACTACCTCACCGACTTTCCCCTCACCTCCCCAATAGTCCCCTTACCCTGATCATGATTTTAGACTGTTTCTAGCTCTTGATTTCAGAAGGCAATATCTTTATGAAACTTTAAAGAACAAAGAATTAAGTATTTTGTAGTGCTGGAAATTTCTCTCAGTTTTTACTCCTTCCCTTCTTTGCACTGTGTTTTGGATCCTGTTATGTAGGTGCTCCGCAGTAGAAGAAACAGTAATAATGTATGATAATGAAAAACTTCAAAGTATACATACAGCTGGAAGGGAGATTTGAATAGGATTTTGCAGCAACTTTTTTAGTTGATGATAAATCTTCAACTTAAATTGTAATTGATTTTTTAAATTCTACCTTATCCTTCTGTGATGATTCTAAGTA